ATTGCAATTATACAACTTCAAGATCTCCTCAAATAGTCCAATTCTCCTGATTTGATATTTTCACTCATAAGTACTACATATCAGTTCATTTAGACTCAGACATCACATATTATAAGAATTAATGCAAGTTGTTTGATACAACTAATGAAGTCCTGAAACTATTTAACTTACACAAAAAGTATTTTGAGACGCATAAAAGAACAGTAACAAACATAACATCTTTAACCCTTTGATAAGAACTTTATCGATATGTAAAAATAGAAAAAGAATACAACATAGAAACTTCAATTGTACTTCAAAATCATGACTTGCCTGTTCCAATGACTATAAAATTGTTCTACAGGAGATGCATTTTTCAATAATTGTTTGACAGATATCTTCTTCAATAGCTATAAATGTCTGCATTGTGAAGTAAACTATTTCAAAATTCAAACCAGATAAACCAGGACAACTTGAAATATACAAATTACAAACTTGTTGCAAGCTAAGAAGAAACAAAAATATATTCACTCAATTATAAAAAAAATAGACATATTAAAAAAATATATAAACATGAATAAATCCTCAACTCAAACAAATTAATAAAAGACTAAACTTGATCCTTCAGTATTTATCTAATTAAAAAACTAAATAGAGAAAAATCAAGGTATATTGAATCGAAAGACTTACCCAAAATCTTTCTTCCCTTACATCGATCATCGAGCCAATAGACAAGTTCCCAACACCTAAAAAATATAAGACAAAGAGAGATTCAGAGTTCGGAGAATGAACGGTGGTAGGGTTAGAGAAATACCTTCTTCTCAGGTTGCACAGGCCTCCAACCAAAATTGCATTAGAATCTCTCTCTTAACCCCTAAATCTGTAAATTAGCTATCCTTTTACCAGATCATTTTGATGCCCAAAATAACCCAATTGCATAGAAAAATTCTTCAAGAATATAAGCTTTTCCTTGTAAAAAAACCATGCAGAAGTACATCAATTCCACTAAGTTGAATTTTGTTCAAACCCTTAATCTCTATTTATAATAAATCCACCAAGTTGAAGAAATATAATAAGACAGATTTTTAACCAAATATCAGGCTTTGACCCTTGAGAATCTTGCAAAAACAAAACTTTCCACAACCAAATGAAACTGAAAAATATCTTCAACACTTGCCATTAAAGCCAAACAATTTTTTCCCTCAAAATTCAAAACTTTTTGCAAACTACTTAAGAGAGACTACATATCCATAATCAAATAGATAAAATTATAACCTTTGAGCTTAACCAAGGCCTGACATTCACACATTTTCACATTTAGGCATATATAGTATTAACAGCATGAGCTAATAATAATGAATAAGAGAAGGTTGAAAGCAAAAGCCAATCTACTTTAAGCAAATAGATATTGCGGTATGTAAGCTCAGCATAACACACAAAATGTGATTAGATACCACTGCAAAGAGTTAAATGAACTTTACTTCTACAAAATAGAATTGTGCTGACATATACAATGCAAAAGACATGTAAATTACCTTCAGTTACATTATATGCAGCATAGTATTGAGGAAACCTTCTCCTGGATCCCCCAAATGCTTTTTGCCAAGTGTCAATTAAGATTAAGATTTTTTCCCGCATATTTAAATCAGGCTGCAAAGATAAATATTACTTTAAGTATTAATCAATAAGATATAATATGATACATGAGAGGATGAATCCAGTAATATGAAATGATGAAATGTAAAATGGACAACTTTACCTGATATTAGTGATTGATGGATCAGTATCACTGGCATGATTTGTCCAAAGATGAGCAACCATTGTCAATAGGTTTTCTAACTGCACTTACAATCATG